GGTGCGTTCCTCTAAGTCTTCCTACCAATATGACCATGTTGCGAAAACAAGGTCAAACAACCTCTATAAATGGAATAATTTGAATGCGGCCACAAAATGGACTTGGAAGCTTTACTCGAAGTAGGGTTCAGGCAATTTATTTCCTATAAAAAGTTTGCCGGAAATAAGTCGATGGATAGTTACATCGAAACTCTGGAAGAGTCGGCCTTGAAGCCATTGTGGTGGTATCATGTGCCTTGAAATCAGTATTTCTTCGGCTTCGTTAAGCAAGTGACACAAAATGATGCATTGTCATTGCAGGATCAACAAAGGATTTTGAGGCAATACTATATCCGCCAGGCGTCAAACATGAGATTGACAAAGTTAATAAGGAATACCAAATAGTTTAATTGCAGATAAGAAGACCAAGATTGTATTAACTAGCTTTTGTTAGGGGGACCTTCATTTCGTATGAAAGTGAATGAAGAAGAGATTTGTTTGTCGATCTCACCAGATGAGGACGGATGAAACTCGTTGTACTGCAGCCGGTTGGATTTTATACGATATTCAAGTTGACACAGTCCACGTAACTAGAATCGGGTTTTCTATTCAAAGCCAACAGGAGGCTGACTGGCTAACCAGGTATATCAGTTCCAATAGATTTATTATTTGGATGATAGCGAGTCGGTCCATGCTGAATTGAAGTGAATGCTTGATTTTTGCACAAACTTCTGGTGGGGATGCTTGAGGTGTTGATGAGCCGATGGAGCGAGGTTTGGTTGAGAATGGTCTTTTGGAAATCACGATATAAATAAAATTCAATTTAAAGCCTCCACACAATGTGATATGGGAAAATGTCTGACCTTCCTTGAAATTCATATCTTCCCTGTGAGCCAATGGATCTTGTTGCAGCCTGGAGTAGTGGGTAACGAGTCGAGATTATACGCTGAACTACCAGCGCTCGAGTCCTGCTGGGGCGAGGTCAAAACTTGGTCCCCAGGAATTTAATTCTAACTAAAAAAAACTTTTTGGAGTAAAATTTCCTCTTGCATTTATTCACCTTCCCTAGGAAGTTTTGACTCCATAATTGTATGATATGGTTGAGAACAATGTTACGCACAGGTTGGTCTCTTTGAATATGCCCATCATATAAAGGAAATGAGCTTATCTTGACCAAAAAATGATGTGTTTCCGGTAATCCGGTCGTGCGTTACCTATGCTTCTCTCTATTCTAGACATAGTCCCAACGGGGAAAGCAAACAAAGCCGAATTAAAAGTTCGTAACGGATGGAATAAACCTTAAATACAAATGGCAATGCACAAAACAATAAGGAAATTACCCTTCCCTTTGCAGGTCTCTTGGCGACAGGCGACCAATGTAGTATATTCAAACTTTACTTTAAAAAGCGATTGATGCAAAAAATCGGCCAATAATGAAGTATGACCAAATGAGATTTTTATATCAAGATTCACAGGTTTACATTTAAAAGTGGAGATGACACTAAAATTCTGAGTAGAAAATGAACGTAAAATTCTGAGTAGAATAAAAATATGTAAATACACCAGGAATAGAGAGAATTAAGTTTGTGTCAACTTGAAACTTTCACAGGTCAGAATCGAAATGGTGTGAGTGTATATGTTTTCTCGTTTGTGTGAAACAGTGTCCATCTATCCGAATGCCCATCTTAATAGTTTCTTATATCCACTTATTTATTTATATATAGGTAGCATGTCTTATTATAGTTCGGCGCATGCATACATGTGCGTCTCTTGCTGGAATACGAAGGCATCAACGCACCAGGTTCAGCTTCATGAGAGCAAAGTTGCTGAATTTAAGTTGAATAATTATGGATGCGTGTCTGTGTACATTTGCTTGTTTGTTCACTTGTTTCCTCTCATTCTGTATGCTCTTGAGTCGGGATACATATTCGATCCTGACAGATGCTTCTGGCTCATATGTCATAATCGGATGAAGAATTTCAAAATGAATACATAAATTGTATAAATGTATAAAGATAAATAAATAAATAAATAAATATATATATATATGCCTTTTAATCATTGGCATCCGTGCCCTAATGGCATAAGTACTGAGATGATGAATTCTGGCCAAAGCCCTCATAGATCTATCGGACATCAGGTCTTCTTCAAACAGGATAAAAGGGCCACACCCATCAAGAACGCCTTCTCAGATGCTGCCAAGGAAGGCTTCAAAGGAAGACCTAGACGAGACTCGCATGGTTTATGGTGAATGGAGCATCATGCGGAAATTGCTGATTAGAGGTTCTTGAAGCTGGGTGTAAACATGCCTCTAGGCATCAGAGGCAACACTACGCAAGCGAAAGCGAAAATCGGGACAAGATTTGGCTAAGACCGAATTGAATGGGCCCCACGAGAGTGTGTCCACTAGCGGAGGACAGACGAACGTCAATTCAAGAGGGTCAGCATGCCGAATAAGTGCCTTAGCCTTAGACTGTCTCGATCATGAGAGCCACTAGAATAGGCGAGATGGAAGAAAACGAGAAAAATCCGACAGACGATGTAAAAAAAATGAAAGGACAGAATCTACGAGAATAAGATTAAAACGATGCAAGCGGCAGAAGGGAAGACTTCTCAAAATTTTGCTTCCAGATCTATTCAAGTTGAGAATAGGAAGCTCGAAATGTGAAGAATCACTGAAGAGTCTTCAAAAAATAAACCCTTCTGGACGCAAATAGTGCAAAATGCCACCTATTGGGATGGGAAAAAATGTGCCCTAGAATAACGGATGCTGTCTTCATGACCACCTAGAAATGAAAAGAGGAGATACAATATGATGAAGCCTATGCCCAGAGAAGTTGCAAAAGTGTGTAACATCAATTCTTCACTGTTAAATACTTGATTGCATTAATTGTTGGCCTAAATGGTTGGTTAAGTCCCCAGAAATCATTAAATGGTAATCTGATGGAGGGAATCTCTAGAGAAAGAGACGAGTGATAGATTAAGAAGACAGGTTTATGCGGTCGTGATGTAGATGTATGCATCAATCTTCAACTGCCAAACTAGGCTCAGGAGGCTATTTTGAAAGCCTCCAAGGGGTCAGTCTCGGGTGGTGTAGTCGAAACTTCAGCAGACAATGCTGAGGCCCCGGACACGGGGACGAGAGAAGCAGAACGAGCCGACATTGTGTTCAAGGCTGGAGACGCCAACCAAGTGGGCAAAGAGTGCGATGGTGAGGCTCTGGCGGATAAAGAGGCCGAGACAGATCTACAGATTGGAGGTCGAGACGAGTCAGGTCTGGTGGAGCCCCCAGCGTCAGTGTCCAGGCAGCGCGGCGTGTCTGGACTGGTTCGTTCTGAGGCGGCCGCCATCAGAACCTCGGTCAATAGGGTGGCAACTCCGTGCGTCGTGAGAGCTACCGAAGCCTCGGCAGTCGCAGTGACTCCGACCCCAACTGAACTGCCGCTCGAAGTGGCAGGTGGCCGAGGTGGTAGACTGGCCGCAATCGAGTCGGAGCGTCTCTGCAACAGGTTCAGAGAGGCACCAGAACAGGAAGAGGACGAAGTAAAGCCCCTGACACCACCAGAATCGGATTGGCCTACACTGGCGCTGGTACTAGTGCTGGTGCTACCACTGATACAACGGCTGCAACCACAGCACAGGCTGAACGGACATCCGCTGCCGCAGCTGCTGGCATAGCTTTGGCTGCGGCTGCGATTGAGACGTTCATCATCGGGATCGAGCTCAAAGGAGGCCAAAGACTCGTCAGGATCTGTGACATCTTCGGCAGCCTATCAGAAGAGCAGAAAAAGGAATAAACTTCCACAAATATGCCGAAACAGTAAAAGTAATTGCATATTGATTTCCAAGGCACTGATACCTGCCATATTTAGCAAAAGTTTTGGCATAACCTTCTTGAACAGAACTTGCAATAGAGAAGACAAACAATGAATGAAAAGCCATTCCTATTAGAAGCAAGTTGTAAAAGCGTATAAGGTGATTTAAGAACAGACTAGGCTTCATGATGCCATTTAATTTAATTTATTGTATTCAGTACCATCTCATCTGCACTCCCTACTGGGTTCGAATTAAAGCACACGATTAAGAGATTCCTGTTGTACTGAAGCCGTTTGGCTTCACTACTTGTTGAGCCTACTTCCATTTCGAGTAGAAGTGTTGGGTAGGCTGTAAGTATAGTGGCGACCTTGCCACTCCACAATACAGCCACGGGTACCAGTGAATAGAAGGGAAAATATTACATCCAGGACGAATAAGGCCTCACTCAAATTACATTTTTGTTTTGGAATCGCCAATGAAGCAAACATGTATTCGCTATTATAATCAATGACCTTAATTACTTTCGATGATAATAGGGTTCAAGTTTTCCAGTAATTTGTGGTAGAAACTAACGGTCCATCCTAGATAGCCTTTTGGGAGGCAAGTCTGGGTCCTTTAAATAGTGTTAAGTGATCTAGAGGAACTAAGTTCATTTTCAAAAATCAAGCATATTATACAATTCACATTGGATAACTTGATAATATATATCAGATTTACAAGGAGATCAAATGTATTTCCCTGATAAATTCAATGATATATTTTAATTAGCTAAAGCATTCTGCAGATCCAAATAAAAAAATGCAAGGAGAAAACTTATTTACTATTATTATTGTCATGCTACTAAATTGAAATTAGCTCTTCATTCTCATTTGTTCACCCTATGAAGGATCGGAAGTTGAATATTCCCACAATGATATGAGCAGGCCTCAAGTTTCCATTGAAGTTCACATAGCCTTGCCTCTAAAAAGGTATTCCTATCCAGTGTGGACGGAAGTTTCGACATCGCCATCATCACCTTAAACGAAAGAGGCTGAACACAGCTATCTAAGGCCTTCTGGCAGTCTCGAAGACCTTACTTATAAGGAATGATCTTCATTGTGTTGTTGTCATTAAGTACTTACATACTTGTATGTATGCATTTGTATATTGGCATCTGAACGCGTATAATTCAAAGTATGAAACACCAATCATAATATAGAGTAATTGCAATAAGGCCCAACATCCGTTTTTAGTCGTTATGCCTTAATGACACAACGAAAAACATGACCGAGCACGCAAGCCCGATTCCGATGATGACGAACACATCACAATAAAAACCCTACTAACATGAGACCTTTGTATCAAATAAGTTGTATTTTCTTAAGCCAAAAGCTATGGCAGGCGGCTTAGGTTGGCTATAGGTAGAAGTACTCGGTGAGTTCATAATAGGAAGCTAAAAGATAGGAATTAGAGATATGGCCTAGGGATTGTGTTTCTGGGATAAAAAGTAATAAACGTAATTCTAATACATTTGAAAAAGATAAAGAAATGAATTTATCCAGTATAACTCTGGAGAATGGTGTGAAGTTACTATTGGAGAGGAGTTAATCTAGCTCCACTAAATAGACAACTATTCTCATGGCATAATAGATGAATAAATTAAATATATTTAATCTATTTCTTAAAGGCAATAAAAGACTTGTAGTTTAATTTAGCTACTATGATATGAATGGGCCTTTCCTTTCCATTTAATTTAACATAGCCATACTTCTTAAAAGATATTCTTGTCTAAGATTGACTGCATTTTCGACCTCGACTGGGTCTTATCAGCACCCTCGGTGGGACTCAAACCTAGGTAGTTCAATGTAAACGCTAACCACTAAGCCAAAATACCACACTTTTGCTTGAGTCACAGAGCAGACGCGAATTTCAGGAAAGGTCAGGCCTTTCTCATATCATATTTCTTTGGTGAGATGGCTGATAAAGCAAAGTTATATTTGCCATAGCAATCGACTGCATTACTTATTTTAGTTTTATAAGTTGGATCTTCGATTCTAAGCATGTTTCTAAAATTCAATAAAATCGTCAAGTAATTCATAAAATTTTGGAAAAATTCAATTCATCATCTTAAACGAAATAGAGTGACTATCTAACTCTTATTCAAAATATACTTGTTAGGGGAGGACCTTCATTTCGTATGAAAGTGCATGAAGAAGAGATTCGTTGGTCGATCTCACCAGATGAGGACAGATGAAACTCGTCGTGCTGCAGCTGGTTGGATTTCATACGATATTCATGATGACGCAGTCCACGAAACTTCCTCCCTCGTTTCGGGTGAAAACGTGCTGAGCTTTCGTCCATCATATGATGGACATTAGAGCTGAGTGTCATTCTTGTAAAAGTCAAATCTTAACACTAGGCCAAGAAGACTATCCGGCTTTTTCTTACTGTTAGTCTCAAAATATACTTCAAAAATGAAAAAGAAGTAAGTTTGACCTCGTTATTACAACTTGGTTGTCTTGTCAGGGGGACTTAGAGGAACTCATCTTGTCCTGAGTCCATCATATCAATGATAATTTCCTGCGTCGGAGCTTGGACTCGATACTATACTAAAAACCACGCCATCTAAGTCATCAAAATTTCGAAAATAAGTAATGTAGCCGATTGTAATGGCAAATAAACGTATACCTCATCGACGATCCCATCAAATAAATAGTTATGGGAAAGCCTGGTCTTATCTGAAATTCACGCTGGCCC